CTTAACATACGAAACACAACGAAAATGGCAAAGAAAATGCTATGTAAGAATAAGTATTGGGATACCGTATCTTCACAAATCATATCCCACACTTCTAGAAATTATGAGTAATTAGTGATTACGACTATTTTTTTTTGACCAAAATCTATCTACGACCACCGGTTTTTTACGAATCAATTTTGGTCAAATACTAGTCAGAAATAGTTGTTTTTACCAATTTTAGACCAAATTGATGGTCAAAATTGGACAGTTTTCCTGTAGTGGTGTTCATATTTTCTGCTTTATATTTTCAACAATTTTTCTCATTTATTGGCTAAGATACGTTCTAAACATGTATATAACAGTGTATTGTTCTCGCTTTACAATATACAGAAAATCTCTTTTCAATATCTCGATACTCTTCCCCTGTTTTTACAACATATATTACACAAATGCATAATTATGTTAGAACTCTAGGTTAGTTTAAGTTATCACCAAGACGATGGATTTTAGGTTCGGGTAGCTTCGAAGAAACCTTGGCAGGAAGTTCAATTCAATAGTAGAAAATGTTGCTTCCAAATGTCCAGTTTGGAAGCAACATTTTCTACACTTGACTTGAACTTCCTTCCAACGTTTCTTGAAAGCTGTCCAAATCTAAAATCCATCGTCTTAGTGATAACTTGAACAAACCTATAGTTTTAACATAATTATAATTATGCGTTTGTGTAAGATATGTTGTAGAAATAGGGGAAGAGATGGCTTTGACAATATCAAGACAACAAAAATGGCCTTAAAAACGGTTTGAGTTTCGTTATTATAACTTAAGTTATTTAATTGTGTTTAGAGATTTGATGTTATGTAAAACAGAGGATGGTCTTTGTTGTAAAAGAAATATTTTTGGTAAAGAAAGTTGTATCGTTATCTGGATATGAAAGCACAGTATCAGATTCTAGAACTCATTAACCTTTCATATCTCTTCTGATTCATTGTTAGTTCGATTGCTGAGAATTAAACAGTGGGGTCTAATTTAGATCTTCAATCATAATATTTGATGTTCTATCATTTCTGCAAATATGATTAAATATTACTTGTGAATTTGATGGATGAATAGTGTCTCATGGGGTGTTTTCGGTTTTCCAAATCAAACTCCCTTGGCCTGAGATTGCATGTTCTTAAGTTATTGTCACAATCTTACTGCATTACGATTTCTCGGCTTCTTTATACTCTCAAGACATAATATTTGGCATTTTGCGATCTTTCATGGAGTTTGTGTCCATCCCCAAAATCAATGATTTGATATATCTCTTACTTTGGCATTGCATACCATACACTTAGAACTAATGTATTTAGCCTTAGACCATCTCCAATGTGTTGCTCTATTTTTATTTCTAAAATAGAGAAAATTATAGCATTGTTCTATTTCTTCTCCAATGTGTCTCTATTTTAGAAGAATTGCTATAATATAGATGAAAAAATAGCAATTTTTCATTTTTGCCTCTATATATAGAGGAATACTATAATTTTCTCTATTTTAGAGGTAGAAATAGAGATGGATTAGAGTAAATTTTACTTTAAAATAGATTTTAGGGAAAAATATAGTGGTGGGTTGGAGATGCCATTAGGACCAAGAAACGGTTCACTTGATGACATATTTAAGTTTTAAAGAAGCTTTGTGTGATTATATTTTCATCATACACAAAAACAACGTAGGTTTAGTGTTTCAACATCCCTCGACATTAGTTGCTTTCTGCTACATGTTATTTTGCGTTCTCTGTCTTTATTGTCGAGATTTGCATTGTTAAATCTCCATAATCTTTAAGAGCTATGACTAAAAGAAGCGCCTCCTTCATCAAATGAGAACATCATACTTAGACCAAACTTTTTTTTGTTACTATATAGAGCTTTTGTCTCAAGAAGAGACGATCTCTCATCATGAACTAGGAGCTGAGATGCCTTGTAATGGTCGACCTAAAGATTGAAGTGGTAAATTATGTTATTCAAGACGTTATATCATGAGATGCCTTGTAAGTGTCATGAGGCTTCGCTTTAGATTTGATGAAGAGACATTAAAATTATGCAATTCGTTTGCAGATGCACCTGATGTCTCAAATATACAAAGTCGACAATTCTTGCTTGTTAGAAGACAGACCTCAAATACACTAACATTTATTTTAGGAAATCACGTTGAATTTACTACAAAATCTTTAAACATTAAACACTTTGATTTACTTGAAAATATTTTAAACTAAAAAAGTTAATAAACATGTAGTTTTAAAAGTTACGCATATATTTTGTTTTTTACTAAAATGCAAAAGAAATAAGGAATATTATGGCCTTAACTGGTGTTAGCATAATTGCATAATTGGGATGAATTCAGCTGATTTTTTTTACTAGTACACCAGTTGGTGTAGCAGAATTCAAGAGAATAAAAAGAAAGAAATTTCACAAAAGGACGAAAATGGCTGAATACATTTCTCTCTATTTCTAAATATTTAATGATTTCATTTTATTTAAACTTACAAAGTGTATAAAAATTAAAAATTGAGCTTAATTTAAATGAGAGTGATTAACACAAGATGAATGATTTTTGTTA